CGGCAGCCATTGCGTCGGGGGTACGTTGTTCGTCGGATGTTGGAAGCTGGGGTGCTCGATCAGGTCCCAGACCTGGTCGAGGTGCGAGCAGAGGTGTGGAAAAAGGATGGCAGACGGAGACTCGCTGTTGCCTGTAGGTCCATCAGCTTTCATCTGGATGGCGCTGAACATGTGGAACTCGCGTCGGGTGCCAGTCCTGCATGCTTGGAGCTGCCAGAGGGCGAGGGCCACTGGGTCTCGGGCGTGGGTGGCTGCGATGCATGCTACGATGTGGGGCCCTCCTGGCCCCCCGCTCCTTCTTTTCCGCTCCCGCGCGTCAGGGTCGGGCCGGGGGCCTCGGGATCTTTGAACTTCGAGGGCGGTCGATCGGGCCGCGCGAGTGGGTGGGGCCGCGCTTTGCCGCGCCGCCGGTGGGGCGGTCTCGCGCCCGCGCGGCATTTTTTTTTGGCGCGCGGGGCTAGGGGGCGAGGGGCCGCTGCGTTCCCCCCCCGTTGGCCCCGGGAGTGCATCTCGAGTGCGTTTTTTTTTTGTGGTTGTTGTTTGGGGGGGGGGGGGGGGGGGGGGGGCTTTTTCCACCTCCGAGAAGAGGGCCAGCGAGTTTCCTCTCGAGGGGCGACGGTAGTCGCTTTTGCCGGCTGCCCCCCCCCCCCATCCATGCGCCCGACGAGGCTTCCAGGTCTTGGGGGCCTCGGATGGGCCCTCGCGGGAGAGGGCGGGGTCGCGCGGCCCGCGTCTCCGAGGCTCTGGCGTTTGAGGATGGGCACTTTTGCTCGGCTTGAACAGGGCGTGGCCGCGGGTGGTCAGGTCTGCAAGATCGTGGGTCGTGTCGTTATCGCGGGTCCGGCTCGTAGGCAGTTCCTCTCAGTGTTTGATTATGTGTTTCGTTTCGCAACTGGGTATCGCGATGTCGCTCGGCCTCTGTCGGGCGGAGTCCGACGAGAGCTCCGATGGGCAGTGGGTCTGTTGCCGGTCTTGTGGGCCGATCTCCGGGCCGAGTGGGAGTCGCGGGTGCGCGTGGCGGATGCGAGCGAACAGGGCCGGGGAGTGGTCCAACGCGAGGTGCCGATCGACTTGGTGCGGGAGCTCGGCAGGGAGAACGATCGTTGGCGTTTCCGCGGGACTGCAGGGCCGAGTGAGCTTGGTGCGCGGCCTCGCGGCTGCGTAGATCTGGATGCTGAGCCCCGTTCTTGCGCATTGCGCTCCTTCGTCGGGCCCCAAGACGGTCTCGCTGGTCCAGGATGTGCCCTGGGATGTGATCGACGGTCCATAGCAAGTCGTGTCGAGCGGTGGACGGTTCCGAGCTAAGCGCGTCGCAATTCTCGAAGGTCGGGTTCTCGTTCGCACTATGCGCCGCGTTCTCAGATATTGTCGCTCGTTCTGGAAGCGTTCCCTATTTTTTTCGACCTCAACTTCGTTCTGGAAGAGGGTCCTTTTCTTGTCCGACAACCTCTCGTCCTATTTGGCTCTAACCAAAGGCCACTCGTCCTCGCGCGGGTATCCTGGCAGTGGGCGGCCTGGTGCCTCGCTGGGCGGGTCGCGCCGGCGCTCCGCTGGCTGCCGCCCGAGTGGGGCCCTGCCGACGCCCCCTCAAGGCGGCGCGTCCCGATCGGTATATGGCTCGGCTTCTCCTGCGACGCCGACGCTGGCCGGCCGCTGGCCCGAGCGGGGCGGCCGGGGCGTCGGCCGACGTCGGGGCGGCCAGCAGGTGGCTGCCGAGGTCAGAGAGCTGGTCGCAGGTGGCCCCGCGCGGCGGCGTCGGCCTCCCGAGCGCCCGCGCGGCGGCGGCGCCCCGGATCCGCGGCGCCCGCGGGCGGGCGGCCGTCCAGAAGGCGCTGGGGCGGCCCAGGGGGGCAGGGGCCGCCGGCGAGCCTCGGCCGCTGTCCGAGTTCGCTGGCCAGCTGGCCCCGGCGCCGCTGCTCCAGTGTGGGCAGCGCGCGCGGCGCCCGAGCTGGCGCCGGGCGCTCTTGGAGGCGGAGGCGCGGGGGCTGCCAGCCCGTCCGCGCCGGGGCGGCCCCGCCAGGACTGGTCGCTGATGCCTCCTTTCCGGTCGCAGCGCCGAACGTGACGTGCCAGGTCGACGAGCCCGTGGTGGCGGGCGCGCCGGGCCCCCTGATTCGCGCCATCCAGACGACGGGCGGTCTGCGTGGATCGGGGGCGAGCTCGCGAGGTTCAGCATCAGTTTACTGGAACAAATGAAGCGCCGGCAGAAGCCTGCGACCATGGAGAACCCCTCTTCCTCGAGAAGTTGGGCTGTCTAGAGTGCAGTCCTGGCAGTCGGCATCTGCGATCGACGCCTGTTTCTGCGTGCGTGGAAACAACTGGAAGAAGCCGATGCGTTTCCTTGGATGCCGCGCCGACCTCTCGAATGTGGAGAGACATGCGATGGGGGAGTGTGCCGGCGCGCGGGCTGCCCCCATCTTATTCTGTTTGGGTTTGACGGTCTTCGAGGCTGGCTGACAAATAAGGCTGAGAAGCCACCCCGTGAGTTATGCTTCTATTTGGCCCGTGCTTTTTCGGATGCCCGTGCTGCTCTCGATATGAGTAGAATGTCTCGTGTGTGGTTGGAATGATAGCAGCCGGGGGCTGCCGGAGGTATATCCCGCCCCCCCGCCCTGAGATGGCCGATTTTGGCAAGTGCGGTATGTTTTCGCGCCCCTTCGGGCCTCGGGAGGTTAGCTGAAATTCGGTCGACCTCGCGATGGGGTCCTTCGGCACACTTGCCCTTGTACCCTGGCTGCTCCGAGTGCCGCCGCAGAAAATGTTGAGAATATGACTGGTCCTCATCGTCGTCTGTCTCGTCTGTCAGTTCGTCTTGACCACGGGTTTATGCGCTTTCGCATGGTATCTGTTCACAGAACAATGCATCGGAGCATTAGCGAGTGGCCGCATTCCGTATCCGTTTAAGCTCAAGAGCTTGTGATCCCCGCCCACCCCCCCAGCAAGTTTTCGCGCCCCCTCGGGCCTCGGGAGGTTTGCTGGAATTCAGTCGACCCCGCGAGGGGTCCTTCGGCGCACTTGCTTTTGTACCCTGGCTGCTCCGAGTGCCGCCGCAGGAATATGTCGAGAGGATGGCTGTTCTTAATTATCGTTTGTCTTGCCTGTCAATTCGTCTTGTCCACGGTATTATGCGCTTTTGCATGATGTTGATGATGCGGATGATGGCGATGCTGATGATGATGCTGATGATGATATTTGTGATGCTGCTGGCGATGGTGGTGAGGATGATGATGACGATGACGACGCAGATGGTGACGATTATGGCGATGATGACGATGATTATGTTGACGTTGATGTTCATGTGTCTGCCGATGCTGGTGATCCTGATGATGATGGTGATGATGCAGGTGGTGATTTTGATGATGACGATGGTGCTGCTGATGATGATGTTGGCGTTGATGCTACTGGTGTTTCAACTGATGATGATCAACATGCTGATGCTAACAATGGTCATGATGATAAGGATGATGACGCTGCTGATGGTGATGCCGATGACGATGCTGATGGTGCCCGCAGTGATGATGATGATGATGATGATGATGATGATGATGATGAGGATGATGATGATGATGATGATGGTGGTGGTGGTGGTGGTGGTGGTGATGATGATGATGATGATGCTGATGATGATGATGCTGCTGATGATGCTGATGGTGTTGGTGGTGGTGATGATGGTTACGCTGGTGCAGAATATTAGATTGATGATGATTCTGCTGGTTCTGATGGTGTTGTTCGCGATGGTGAGAATGTCGATGCTGCTGTTTCTGCTAATGCTGATGCATCTGGTGCCGTTGCTGCTCATGGTGATGATGGTGATGATGTTGGTGCGGATGCGGATGATGATGCTGTTGATGCTGATGGTGATGCTGACGGTGATGCTGATGCTGCTGATGATGGTGCTGCTGCTGATGGTGGTGGTGGTGGTGGTGTTGTTGTTGGTGGTGGTGGTGGTGAGGAGGAGGAGGAGAAGAAGGAGGAGGAACAGGAGGCGGACGAGGAGGAAGAGGAAGAGGAGGAAGAGGAGGAAGAGGAAGAGGAGGAGGAGGAAGAGGAAGGGGAAGAGGAGGGCGCTTGGGCCTGTTGCGAACAGTCTGATGGGGAGACTGCCGCTCCATGGGGGCGCGATGGGCCTCGGGGGCTGCGCCCATCGCCCGCGCGGCTGCGCGGCGCGGCCGCAGAGATGTTGCCCGCTGTTTTTTTTTTGCGTGCGCCTGGTGCACATGTTCGGGCGACCATGGCCGCTGGGGTCGCGGGTCTGCACCCCTCCCGCCCTCTTTGCTGCTGCATGCCGTCCCTCCCGTCCCCCCCCCTTCCCTTCCCTTCCCTCCCTTCGCTTTTCTCTCCCTCCCTTCCCCCCCCCCGTCCGTCCCCGTCCTTCCCTCCCTCTCTCTCTCCTCTCCCTTCTCCTCCCGGCCTCCCTCTCCCCCCATTTCCCTTTTCCCCCCCCTTCCCCTCCCTTCCTTTCCTCCCTTCCTTTCTTTCTCCGCCCCTTCCTTTCCTCCCCTCCCTTCTTCCTTTTCTCCCCTCCCTTCCTTTCCTCCCCTCCTTCCTGCCCCTCCTCCCTTCTTCTGTCCCCCCCTCCTCGCCATAACCATGTTTGGATAATGCTCAGCGGACGCTGAGCAGGGCGCGGCGGACTGCGTGCGAGCGCCGATCTTGGCGGCAGCATGGCCGACCTTTGACTGCGGCTTGCCGGCTTGCCTGTCGCCCAGGCGGCTTTCGGGCCAACGCTGGATGCGATGGCCTGCAGGTTTGGGGGCACAAAGCAGATGGCTACTGCGATCGCTGCGGCGGCACGCGGCGCAATCCAGCGCGTCGCGTGCAATGTGACGGTTCGCCCCAGAGGAGATGAACGTGGACGAGCATGTGGCCCCGCGCGAGCCGTCGAGATCCTCGGCGGCGTGCAGTGCATCCTTGCGGACATATGACAGGTCGGGTGACGCAGGCCAATGCTCGCCTTAGCGATGCGGGGCGGCCCGATTTGGCGAGTCGCTTCGGCAAGCATGAAGGTGAGGAACGGCGTTGCCCACACGGGCGCTAAACTCCAGGAGGCCATCGACGAGGCCTTGGATGAGAGCAACAAGGAAGAAATGAAGTACTACGGTGTCAATGTCGCAGATTTGAAGAACTGTGAGTTCAGCGTCGCCGATCTGAAGGGCCGTTTTCCAGGTTTATGTTATGTGTCGAATTCGACTGCGACGCTTTTTTTTTGTCTTTTCTATCGGTTTACTTTCCTTCTCTTTTATTTGTTCTTTTATTTTTTTTTTGATTATGGTTTTTTCTCTTTATATCTCTTTATTATCCTTTTTTTCTTATTTTTCTTCTGAATTGTTTTACGTATTTTTATTCTTTTTTTCTTTTTTTCTTTTTATCTTTTTTTATTCTTTATGCTTCCGGACTGCGACGTCGCAGAACCGAATTGCGACTTCTCGTTGAATGGGATGAAGAGTGCCGGCATACACATGGCTGAGCAGGAGGACCACTTCACGCTACATGAGTTGAAGGGCGGCGTTGCTTTTGGCATCACTGACCTGACAATTCTTTCACGTTGAAGGAGGGGCACTTCTACGGCTTCAACGCTGCGGAGCTCCAGGACGTGGTCGAGCTGACGGGCCATTACACGCTGAAGGAGAGGAATGGCTGCGGCTTCAACGTTGCGCAGCTATGGGGCCACTTCTCCCAGCAGGAGCTGAAGGACCACTTCGCGCTGAAGGAAGTGCTCGGCTGTGATTTCAGAACATTTGAGTTGAAGGACCAGTTCTCGCTGAACGCGATGGTGATCTGCGGCTCCACCTCCGCGGAATTGAAAGACCACTTCACGCTGCAAGAACTGGAAGGTACCGCCTTCGGCATCGCCGAGCTGAAAGACCGTTTTTTTCTGGAGGAAACGAGGGGCTGCGGCTTCACCGCCGTGGAACTGACGGGCCACTTCTCGCTTCAGGAGCTGCAGGAAATCACCTTTAGCATGGCCGAGCTGAAGCGCACATCTCACGCTGAGGGAAATGATTCGCCGGAGGTCAGAGGTCCTAGTGACTTCTCCCCTCGCTCTCCTCTTCCGTCCCGTGCTTCACGTGCTTCACCAATTTTCAACTAGATGGGTGCTTGTCCCTGCGAGGTTTTCCAGGCCCTTTAGCATCAGGCCCTGAAGTCAGCCGTACTGCCGTCGCGGATCTTTCAGTAGGGGAGCCTATTGGCAGGTGAGCATTCTTTTATTATTTGTTTTTGCTTTCGGCGGAACGCCCCTCCCCCCCCCCTCCCCCCCCCCCGTAGAGAAGTTCCGGGCTGATTTTGGCACCTGCTTCAATCGATCGGACGAACTACAGGGGCCGGCGCCCCCCCCCCCTCCCCCGGTAGAAACTCGAATCGCTGATGTGTGCAACTGTGCGCATTTTATCGTGCTACTCTTCTGGAACCACAACGAAAGGGCTCAGGGGCGCCAGACCCGATCGCCAGAAAGCATGCCACCGGCTGGGCCCTCCCCTGTTATGCCAGCGACGGCCTCGTGGAATCATGAATAGGTGATCCCTAGCAATTCTGGCACAGGCTTGCCAAATCACGCATAGCCTTGGCGCAGCCCCGCGCAGCCGCTGCGCGATTCCCCCATGGGGGGTCCCCCCTAGGATTCCCTCATCGGCATCTCCCAAAGGATTCCCCACATGATTCAATCGGAGGCATTGACTACGGGCCGAGAGCCGGACCCCCCCCCCCTCCCCCCCATGCGCCTAAAGCCGGAACCCAGAATAAAAAAATGCTCACCAGCTTTCTCGGGGCATGTTCGGGTCATTCTGAGGACCTTTGTGCCAACTCCTAGCTTGAATGCTTGGGACTTTCTCGCAGACGTGTCCAATCCAATCCCTCCCTCCCTCCCTCCCCTCCACCCTCCCTCCCCTCCCCCTCCCCTCCCCCTCCCCTCCCCTCCCCTTTCTTGCCCTCATGCTTGTCCACCTCCCCCTGCGCCCGCGGAAGCAGCGTGGGACAGACCTCGCTGCGCTTCGTGGTCCTGGCCGCCCGAGCTCTGGCCGCCGTGCTGGGCCTACGCCGGCGCTCGCGGGGACGGCGCGCCGGGGGCGCCGTCTTCATCGCAGTGGCAGGACGCAGATCCAGAGCGCCCGGGGGAGGGAGTGGGGGAGGAGGAGGAGGAGGACGATACAAGAGTAGGTGCGAGCCAATGGCTCGATGGCTCAAGAGAGGAGCTGCGGCAGCAGAGCACGAGTTCCTAGCTGCAGTCGCCAACGCGACTCCTGGCCCTGAGATTGTGGGTGCACGAACGCAGTCCTACATTCTAGGGTCGGAAGCGTGCGGAGGCAAAGGCAGCCAAAACGGAGGAGGAGGAAGAGGAGGAGGAGGAGGAGGAGGAGGAGGAGGAGGAGGAGGAGAACGCACCCCGCGAGTCGTCTTCAATTTTCCTGCAAGCAGCGCCTCGCACTTACGGGGGTCCCAGCTGTTTTCTAAGGAACTGGGCTGGCGTGTTGGTTTGCTCCCCCCCCTCCCCCAGGCGCCCAATCGCAAGTTTCCGGACACCTGGCTGCCATCCAGGGCGCCCTCTGATGCAGCCGCGATGCTGGCAAGCTTCACGAACCCGCGGGGGAGTTTCGCAGCAAGGCGACGCGGGGGGCGCCGCATCTTCAGTGCAGCCCTGTCACCCACGAGCACCTGCGCACGGCGAAGCACCGCGCGAACACTCTGGCTCGAGCTTGGGCTCGTGGGTGCCCGGCCGCGGCCCGCCGCGCGTTGTGCCACAGGAGCAAGAACAACACCGGCGCCGCCGCGGCGGACCTCCCCTCGCTTCTCGGCGGCCAGCGGGCTGTCGCTCGCAGCGTCGCGCGATGCTCCCTCTGGTGCGCGGGGGGGGGGGGCGGAGTCGGGACGGGAAGAGCACGGGGGGCGGCCAGACAGGGGGTGTTGGCTAGGGTCCGTGCGATCGAGATGGGTACGGGAAGCGTGGACACGGTAGGTTTGCGTCGTGCCGACCTGCGGCGACCCTGCCGTCGGCGATCAACGTTGAACATTGCCAGCGACATAGAATCGGTCGATGTTGAACGAGCTGACGGTCGATCGTTCAAGTACGACACGAAGCTGCCCTCTGGAAGCGGACGATAGTTCCTGCTCATCTGAAACAGGACTCGTTATCGGTGTCACTGCGGACGGTTCCCATTTGAAACACAAGGCTGACTGCCCGACAGCGATCCCTGTCGATTCTGGACAACATTTGTTTTTGGGCGTCGTCTTCATTTTTTCAGTTTCCCTTTCGGGCGTTCAAATAGGGGGTGGGGTGGACATCGTGGCGGGGGCCATGATATCAGTACATCCTTTGGTCCCCCCTGGGCCGCGCACGTGCCTGGGGCCATGATTTGCGGACCCCCCTCGTGGTCGCCCTCCTGTTGGACGACCCCGAGAGCAGGGACGAAGACGGCCCCCACTTTCTCGCCGCGAAAGATGAGGCGGACGGTTTTCGCCAGTTTTTGGCTTCAGGGGTTCTTCACCGGGCCTCGGGATGGGTCCAGTCCTTCAGGGGTGCACGTTTTGAAAAATAACAGCCCCAGGGTTCTCGTTCTGGGGAGGGACGGACATCAGCTCCAGTCCCCTCTGAACAGGGCTCGCAGTCGGTGGCGCCGCGGGCGCTGTCCACCTGGGGTAGGCGTCGCGAGCCCAGCAACGGCCGCCGTCGGTTCTGGGCAATGTTTGCTGTCGGGCATCGTTCCCGTTCTTTCCATTCGTATTTCGTGCGCGCCACCCAGAACTCGAACGTCCTGACTGTTTTTCACAACGTGGACGCCCAGTGGTGTGGACTCCCCGAGCTGCTGCTCGACGGTCCCAGGGCGGGGCGAGAGTCCCCAGAGGCCGAGCATCAACCGCAACCGCCTGTCGCGTTTTTGTGTCGAGACCGGAGGGTGTGCCCGTTTTTTTCCCCCCCCCTCGCGGCAACGGGTTTTGCTCCTCCTCCTCCTCGTCATTATCATCATCCTTCTCCTCCTTTTCCCCCTACTTTTCCTCCTTCTCTTCCTCCTCTTCTTCCTCCTCCTCATCCTCCAGTGACCACCCACTTGGTTTGCCAGGCATTGCACGCCGCCTGGCTGTCGGTCCGTCCGTCTGTCTGTCTGTCTTCCCGGCTCTCTGAGCCGCGGCGCTTTGAGCTTCTTAGCTCGGGGACGCGTCGGCCACCGCCGCCCTCTCGCTTGTCGGTGGCCCTGACGAGGTTGGGGGAGAGGGTGCCGAAACGCGCCAAGAGTCCAGCAAGGCATGAGGGTGCAAACCCGACTTGTCTGGCTGATGCTCTGGGGGGGCCTGTGCTCAGGGGAGGCTGCAGCACCGCTCAACGATGTGCTGTTTAACCGAACCTGCAGGGTGGGCCCTTTCCCAAATCCGTGCTTCGGTGCGGAACGTAAGCGCGCCTCGTCTCCGTCGTCGTCGTCGTCGGCGTCGTCGTGGTCGTGGTGCGTGTTGCTCTGCTCGGGATTCTGTTTCCCTTATGCAGTGACCACCACCACCACCACGACCTCCTCATCCTCCTCCTCCTCATACAAGGCCATATCTCCACCCGACCCATGGTGGGCCGGGGGCCCGTAACGTGTCGTTTCGCGCCGGCGCCGTCTGGGAATGGCTACCCCCAACCGTTCCCAGACGGCGCTGGCACGGGTCGTGATGCTACCAGAGGGGGGGAGGGGGGTACGTCTGACGCAAAAGAGAGGTGTGAGCCAGCGTGGACCCCAAACAGTTATAATTGCATTGAGGTTGTGTAAGTTCTGTGGTGCAAGCTATGTGGTGCAGTATACGTGGTGCAAGCTAGAGGCGGCCACGAGGCGGCAATGGGCGGCAGCGTGGTGGAATCTCGCCGGACCCATCCAGCGCACGAGGCGGCCACGAGGCGGCCACGGGCGGGAAAGTGGCGAAACCTCTGCGGATCCCCCAAGCGTGGTGGGCGGCAACGAGGCGGCCGCGAGGCGGCCACGGGCGGGACGCGGCGAAACCTCGGCGTACCCCCCAAGTGGGCGGCATCGAGGCGGCCACGAGGCGGCCACAGGCGTCGACGCGGCGAAACCTCGGCGGGCCCATCCTATGTCTTAGCGACACAAGCAAGAGTCCCTGAGTAGAAGCAATGTCTGGGAAATAGAAATTACCCGGCAAAGTACCCGAACAGCAGCACAGGTGCAGAGGCGGGTCGAGGAGTAGGAGGTCGGCTACTGAGAACGTGCATTCCTGGGGACTGCTGGGCAAGACGGGGGTGAGAGCACGGCCATGTGCACCGTGGGGTATTTTTCGCGAGGGCTCGTGGCCGTGTGACAGGGGCGAGGGCGCGGTCGTGGGCGCGGTCCTGCGTGTTTCGCGAGCGACCATTGCCGTGTGACAGGGGCGAGGGCACGGCCGTGCGCACAATAGTGTGTGTGTGTGTGTGTTTTTTGTTTTTGTTTTTTTGTTCAAGGGATCGTGGCCGTGCGACGAGGATGAAACGATACTTCGGCCATGTGCGCTGTAGTGGATTTTGCTTCAAGAGACCCGTGGCCGTGCGACAGGGAACGAGAGCACGGCCATATGCACCGTGGTGTGCTTCTCGCAAGGGGCCTTGGCCGTGTGGCGCGGGTGAGAGCACGGCCAGGCGCGCCGTAGTGTATGTTTTATGAGTGATCGTGGCCGTGCCACAGGTGGGAGAGCATGATTGTGTGCACGGCAGTTTGATTTAACAAGGGATGGCGGGCGTAAGACGGGGGTGAGAGCACGGCCAGTGCACCGTAGCGTTTTTGTTACAATCGGATCGTGGCCGTCTGGACCAAAAATGTAGCCGGCATTGAGGCAAGAGCACGATTCCTGAACACATGTATGAAGTCTCAGGCGACACGGCCGCCGCACCGGCTGCCAGAGCAAACGTCCTCGGACTTCCCGTCCCCCCTCGAGGGACTCTATTTTTTGACTCCTATCGGGACCCTTCAGCGCACTGCTATGAGGGGGAAACGCGAATCTTTGAAAATGCGCTCCTGGGCAAGGTTATGATGATGCCACTTGCGCTGATGGGCCTCTGTGAAAATATTCAACGATATCAAGCATGTTTTTTCCTAAGGATTCGGGCCCCTCAAGAGCTGCTGGAGAGCAGCAGTCTGGCCGCTATGCCAAACTGCTGTGCCTGGGGCGCGGTAGGCGCCACCCAGAAGCCGAATGCCTGCTGCTGGGATGAGGAGGGTCTGAAAGCCAGGCGTCAAGACAGAAACAGCACTGTGACATGTCTATCTCCCTGTGCCAGATGGAATGGCCCGAAATGCATGACACGGAACCTTGCTGATGCAGCGCATCCAGCTGCTCCAAGTTTTCCGATGCGTCGGCCCGGGAGGTCTGGACATGGACCGTTTTTTCGTCCTGAGTCGTTTTCTGACGGTCCCAGGGCCTTGCGAGGCCCCCCCAGAGGCCGAAGGCAGCCAAGAGCCGACCGCTCCGATCTCTGTTGGAGCGTCGGATCTTTGGGACTGGGCGAGGTGCTCCTGGTGCCTCTGGCGCTGGTGAGCCTCGAGATCGCAGTGCCGTGGCCGCTGGCCGCTCCGCTGTCGCTGGTGCCCTCCAGCTGGGCACCCGAGGCTGCGGCCTCGCGGCGGCTGGAGGCGCCGGCCGAAGGGTCGCTCGAGGATCAAGGGCAACGTTCGAAGGGGGGGGGCGGGACTCAAGCAAGAAGGAAAAGGTACCCCTGCCGCCACTCTTGCCTCGTCCTCCTGTTTTGGGGGGCCTCCCAGGAGGCCCTCGTCGCCACCGCTGGCTTCGCCTCGACGTCCTGGTCAGAACGCGCCCCAGGAGAGGTCCGGGGAGTAGCGGTATCGGTACCTTGTGGTTTCCCCAGGGGCAGGCCCCGGGGGGGAACGATCGAGGCTGGAGGTCTTCGGGCGTCGTCGTCCGAGAGCGGTTTGCCGGCCTCAGGAGGCTCTCCGGCAGCTGCGCCTCGCCGAGAGCGCTCGGGGTGTGCGTGGATCGTCCCGAACGGCCGCCAGAGGCCCGAGCTGTGGCTCGAAAAGCAGACCCATGGCCCGAAAACTACCAGGGACGTGGATAGGTTCTTCGGAAACCGGAACATATACATTACCAGTGGCGGGCTGTCTTTCAGTCCCAGGATTTCCTGAGGGTCGAGGACGACGCTGGGGTGGTGTGGTGCATATTTTTTCCCCGATGTGCCGGGGAAACAACGAAACACGTATACACCAGGGTCCGCTCTCCGGTGCAACTTGTGATGCCGGGCCGGAGGAAGCGTCGGCGTACAGAGTCCGATTCTCCGTAGTTCTGGGGGGGGATGCATCGACCCTGAACCGCCCACTTGCCGCCCACTTACCGCCCAGTCCCATGCGGATTCGCTGTCGGGGGCACATCGCCGATCTGTCGGCGACGCATCGCCGATTCCAGCCCGATGTTTCCCCCCTCAGCCGCCCCCCCCCCCATCGCTTCCCCTCAGAGGAGAGGCTGGAGAAGCTCCTGCGCAGCACGAACACCAACGAGAGCGGGTCGGAGGTTGATAGAACCCCCATATCTCCGACGGTAGGTTTTTTGTCAGTCTGGGCGCTTTTCCTCCGAAGTGCCTGCCTGCAGAACGAAGGGAGGGGGGGTAGCTTCGGACGCCCCCCCATTTCCAAGGGGGGGGGAGCTTCTTAGCTGGGCCCCCCTCTTCGTGAGAAGTGTGCCACGGACGCGCTCTTTCAGCCTGGGCGTTTTCCCGCGATTTCGGGCCCCCCAGGGCTCCGTCATCGGGCCCCGGGGCCATCGAAGACGGACCCGAGGCGAACCGCTGCCACCCCGGGGGAGATCGGTCGGGAGCTCTGACCGCGGACGGAACAAGTCCTCGGCGTCACCCCAGCATAAAACTACTAGGTGTGCGTCGCCCCCTAGGGGCGACGCGCGCACCGAGAAATTTTCTGGTGTATGCGTCGTGGCGGGCGCCTTCTGGCCACACTGCTCGGGAAACGATATACTACAATATGGGTATACTGTATGTTCGGGTCGAACGCACGCCTCCGAGGAGGACACACAGTACTAGGATGTCCTTCTGCGTCCCAACTCCCGTCGTCGGATGTCTTGTTAGCTGGTTCCCCTGGCGTCTCTCTGGAACGAAGCAGGTACCGACGCCGCTGCTCGTCCTGGAGTGCCTTCGTCGCCACGGCGGGGCTCTCCTCGAGATCCTGGCCAGGACTGGCCTCCTCCTCCTCCTCCTCCTCCTCCTCCTCCTCCTCCTCCTCCTCCTCCTCCTCCTCCTCCTCCTCCCCCTCCTCACCATCTTCCTCCTCCTCCTCCTCCTCCTCCTCCTGCTCCTCCTCCTCCTCCTCCTCCTCCTCACTCCGGGAGCGGTCCAGGGAGCTGGAGGGAGAAGGCTCACCGACCACGACCAATCTGCCGCGGGACCTTGCCGACGCCGAGCTTGGTCATGGTTCATGCTGACCGTCGCCGACTCGCGAGGGTGACCCGCAAACTGACGCTGACCGAGCTGGACGGTGACCAAGATTGCTACGACGTTTCCGCGCTTAGTCCTGGTCATGGTTCATGGTTTCCTCCACTCCAGGGTCGGAGGTCGATGTCGGCGGCGAGCCCAGAGGGGGAAAGCGAGAAGAGGCGGGCCTTCTCAGAAGGCCCAGAAGTCTTCTGAGCCTTACCCGAAGGCACAGAAAACTTCTCAGAAGGTGCGAGGGCTTCCGGGAAGCCCCGCCGCCTTCTGAGCGAGAAGGCCTCCTCCTTCTCACTCCCCCCCGGGCGCGTCGCCGAAGCTGGTGTAGGCCCGCGCGGATTCCTCGGATCGGCGTTGGCCCCCCCTCGCCCTGGACGCGCGCGGCGCGCCTCTGGCACCGCCGCGGGGGGGGATCCAGCGCAGCTCCGAGACGTCCGCGCGGACTTCCGTCGAAAGTCTGCGCCCGTGCAACTCTCTTCCCCGGGATGCCGCTGCTCGTCCTGGGTGGCCCCCGTCGCCACGGCTGGACACGCCTGGAGATCCTGGTCAGAATCGACATCCCCCCTCGAGATCAGAAGAGGAGGGATGTAGATTCTGAGAAGCCCCACTGCCTCGCTCGCTGCCGCCGACAGAGGGTACGCTGCGCCAGCAGCCTCCGCCCCTGGGTCGCTTGTGCCACAGTCAACCCGCATAGTAAGGACGGGCAATTTTCCCAAGGGTACTCTTGCATCCTTGTCTCCTCGTTCCATCCCTGGTTGAGTATGTTCCTGGGCCAGTTCCCCTGCCTTTCTATAGAGCTGCGCGCAGGAACCTGACAACTTTTTTTCCTGGTCGTCGGTGCAACTTTGGAGGTGTCGGCGCGACGCCCATGGCGGCCAGCCAGTTGATTCCAGGCTGACAGTATCTGAGAAAAATGCTGTTCAGACTCTGGGGCACCCCCAGACTCTGTGGGTTGGGGGTTGCTCCGACTTTGTCTCTCGTTGTCCGACTGTGTCTCCTCGCTCCTACCTCCTGCCTCCTTCTCCTGGTCTCCTCCCTGTTTCTCTTCCTACTCCCTCTTCGCCTGCTTTTCCCAGTCCTTTTCTTCCTCTTCCTCCTCTTCCTCCTCCTCCTCAACCTCCTCCTCCTCCTCCTCCTCCTCCTCCTCCTCCTCCTCCTCCCCAAGAGGTCTCTAAGACGCCCAAGATGGCCTCCAAGATGGCCCTGAAGCGCCTCAAGAGGACCACACATCGGTTCAGAGAGGCCCCCAAGACGGCTTCCGACGGCGTCAGACCCGTCAGACGGGCCAGGAACGCTTTAAGACGGCCAAGGAGAGGCCCCCTAGACGCCCCCACGGCCCCCAAGAGACCTAATGAGGCCCCCAAGAGGCTTCCAAGAGGCCCCCGGGAAGCCCCCAGGAGGCCCCACAAGAGAGCCCCAAGAGGCTCCCAAGAGGCCTCCTCCTCCTCCTCCTCCTCCCTCTCCTGATCCTCCCTCTCAGCCTCCCCCAAGTGTTCCCCGAAGAGTTTCCGGAGCGGCTGGGGGAATCCATAATCAGATAGCTTGGCCAAGCTGGGGCCCAACGTTTGGCCACAAAGGCGCTTCTCAAGAAGGCTGGGGGCGGCGGTGATTCGCCGTAGGCGTCTTGGATTCGCCGCCCCCTGTGCTTGCCATGGGTGGACGGCGTTCCAAACATTTTGCTGCTCTTGTTATTTTCAAACCCTTCCCAGTGGCCTTCGGCCCAGACCGCCTGCCCCTCGGAAGGACCAGAAGGTGTGGCCCACATCGCCACCAAGACGGCCCAAATGGCCCAAGATGGCCACCAAGATGCCTCCAAGGCGGCTAGGATTGCCCCAAGAGAGCCCAAGACGGCCCCAATACGTCTCCAAGACGGCCCAAGATGCACCCGAGGCGTTCCAAGATGGCCCCAAGATGGCCCCAAGATGGCCCCAAAGGCCCCCAAGAGGTTTTTAATGCAGTCCAAGAAGCCTCCAAGAGGACCTGCAGGAAGGCCCGAAGAGGCAAAGACAGCTGATTTCCCGTGGGCTCTTGACGGATTTTGACGTTTTCGGCCTGCCGACGGCCCAATGCCGCCGAAGAGACCCCCAAGATGGCCCCAAGAGCGCCCAAGAGGCCTCCAAGACGGCCCCATGACGGCCTCCAGACGGTCCAAGAGGCCCCCAAGGCGCCTCCAAGACGGCCCACGATGCCCTCCATGCGCCCACTCGTTTTCATCGTGGTTCGTCTCGTCGACGTCGTCGTCGTTCGTCGGTCGTCGTCCGTCGTCGTCGTCGTCGTGGTCGTCAAACCTCTTCCAGTTTCCAAATCAAACCCTTCCCTCTCCCTCCCCCCTCCACCAACCCCCCCCCCCCCCCCCCCCCCCCCCTCTCCACCCCCCTCCGGCCCCCCCTCCACCTCCCCCTCCGGTCCCCCTCCACTCCCCCTCCACTCCCCTTCCGCCCCCCCTCCACCTCCCCGCACCGAGGGGGCTCCAGAGGGCCCCAAGAGGGCTCCAAGACGCGCCCCAGAGACCACTGAGAGGTCTCATCCAGACGCGCCGTTCGATGATACCTATTAGCGGTTTCTGAGGCCTCTCTTGGGCCCCTCTTGGGCCCGTCTTGGGGCCCTCTTAGGGCTCTTAGGGCCCTCTTGGATCCATCATATGGGCCAACAAGGGGCCCAAGAAGGCCCCAAGAGGGCCCCAAGAGGGTTCAAGAGTTATGTACCAGCGGCCGCTGGGTTGGTACATAATTCCTGGGGCTCTCTTGAAGCCCGCTTGGAGCCCTCTTGGGGCCCTCTTAGGGCCCTCTTGGAGCCATCTTGTTCCAAGAGCGCCCTAAGAGGGCCCCCAAAAGGGGCCAGGCCGATGTCTCACGGGGACCACTGGGTACTTCCGATGTCCCACGTGGGACACCGGGTAACTCCGATGTCCCACGGGCCGACGTCCCACGGGGACCACCGGGTAACTCCGATGTCCCACGGGGGACACCGGGTAACTCCCATGTCCCACGGGCCGATGTCCCCTGGGGGACACCCGGTAACTCCGATGTCTCACGGGGGACACCGGGTAACTCCGATGTCCCACGGGCCGATGTCCCACGGGGACCACCCGGTAACTCCGATGTCCCGCGGGGGACACCGGCTATTCCGATGTCCCACGGGGGGCCACTGGGTAACCATGGCCAGACCCCCCCCTGCACGGTCGAGTTACCCGATGTCCCCCGGGGGACACCGGGTAACTCCGATGTCCCACGGGCCGATGTCCCACGGGGACCACCGGATAACTCCGATGTCCCGCGGGGGACACCGGGTAACTCCGATGTCCCACGGGCCGATGTCCTACGGGCCGATGTCCCACGGGGACCACCGGGTAACTCCGATGTCCCACGGGGGGACACCGGGTAACTCCGATGTCCCACGGGGGGCCACCGGGTAACCATTCCCAGACCCCCCCCCTGCAAGGTCGAGTTACCCGATGTCCCCCGGGGGACACCGGGTAACTCCGATGTCCCACGGGCCGATGTTCCACGGGGACCACCGGGTGACTCCGATGTCCCATGGGGGTCCACCGGCTTACCGAATAATGCCGAATGCGCCCCTTGCAAAGTCGACTTACCCGACACCCCTCCGTGCAAGGTCGAGTTACCCGATGCCTCCCCCTCGCCACCGGGTCACCCGTGCCCAACACCCCCTCCTGCAAGGTCGAGTTGCCCGATGTCTCCCGGGGACACCGAGTAAGTGGGGGGTGTGAAGCGCACCCCCCAGTTATTCGATGTTCCCAAGGGGGGGCGCCAAGTAACTCATGCCCGTCGTCGTCGTCGTCGCCGGTCGTCGGTCGTGGGCCGGAATACTTGAGGCTTCGGATCCGTTTTGGGGCCCCCCCGGGCCCCGAGGGCTCCAAAACCTTGGGAAAAAGCAGTAGCAAAACTTACCACTCCAGGTCGAGGCGTCGTCGTCGTCGTCGTCGTCGCCGTCGTCGCCGTCGTCTGCGGGTCGAGAGCTCCGGGACGGGTCCGAAAGCTCCGGGTTGGGGTCGGAAACTTCTGGACGGGGTCGAGAGCTCTGGGGTCAAAACAGTGGCTGGGAAATTTGGTCCAAGTGTCGCTGCCTGGTCCTGTAGGGGCTGGGTAAGGGTGCGTTTGCACCTCGTCGTCGTCGTCGTCGTCGCCGAGGAGGGGGAGGAGGGCCCCAGGAGTTATGTACCAGCGGCCGCTGGGTTGGTACATAATTCCTGGGGCCTTCTTGGGGCTCTCTTGGAGCCCTCTTGGGGCCCTCTTGGGGCCCTCTTAGGGCCAACCAGCGGCCAGAGGGCTCCCAGAGGGCCCTCAGAGGGCCCCAAGAGGTTCAGGAGTTATGTACCAGCGGCCGCTGGGTTGGTACATAATTCCCGGGGCCTTCTTGGGGCCCTCTTGGAGCCCTCTTGGGGCCCTCTTGGGGCCCTCTTGGGGCCCTCTTGGGGCTCTCTTGGAGCCATCTCATGGGCCAACCAGGGGCCCAAGAGGGCTCCAAGAGGGCCCTCAGAGGCCCCCAGAGGGCCCCATGAGTTATGTACCAGCGGCCGCTGGGTTGGTACGTAACTCCTGGGGCCTTCTTGGAGCCTCTTGGAGCCCTCTTGGGGCCCTCTTGGGGCCCTCTCAGGGCCCTCTTGGGGCCATCTTATGGACGGCGACGACGACGATGACGACGACGACGACGACGACAACGACGACGATGACCACGACGATGGTGGCGACGACGACGACGACCACGACGACAACGACGACGACGACAACGACGACCACGACGACGACGACGCGCCCGAAATCAGCCGACAAAGCGACCCAACAGTTACACCAACAAAGTGTCCTTCTTTTGGCCGCAGCGGCTCCGAGACAGCCTGCAGGGCAGCTTTTTTTGACCGCAGCGGCTCCGAGAAGCCTGCAGCTCAGCGCGGGTTCGTCTGCGGACGCCTCTGCCCCCCCCCCAGACAAAAAATCAGCCCGAGGCCCCTGGTGACTTTTTTCGGCCCGCCCTTTCAAGGCCCCACGGCCGGCTCTTGGGTCGAGGAAGAAGAGGAGCAGGAGGACGAGGACGTTGATCAAGACGAAAACGAGGAGAAGGAGGAGCAGGAGGACGAGGAGGTTGAGCAGGGGGACCAGGACGAAATGAGAGGCCTTAAGCGGCTCCGAAAACCCTGCAGCTCAGCGCGGTCTGGTCTCGGAGCCGCTTCGGGCCTTTCATTCCGTCCTTGACCCCTTGCTCAACTTCGTCGTCCTCCTGCTCCTCCTGCTCCTTTGGTTCGGCTTGATCACCTCCTCGTCCTCCTGCCCCTCCTCATCCTCGACCCAAAAGCTGGCCGTGGGGCCTTGAGAAGGCGGCCCCACAAAAAATCACCAGGCCTCGGGGTGATTGTTTTCTCCTGGGGGGGGCAAGGGCGTCCGCAGACGAACCCGCGCTGAGCTGCAGGCTTCTCGGAGCCGCTTCGGGCCTCTGATTCCGTCCTTTCTTCTTGCTCTTCCTCTTGGGTTGTTTCCTCGCCCTCTGGGGCCCTTTTGGGGCCATCTTGAAGTCAGCTTGGGCCGTCTTGGGACCATCTTGTGGACATCTTGGGCCGTCGGACAGCCGAAAGAAAACGCGCCCAAATCATTCAACAATTGAAGGGAATACAACCATTTGGGCATTTCGGGCTCTCCTGGAGGTCCTCTTGAAGACTTCCTAGGCTGTCTAGGAGGCCCCTTGGATCCCCTTGGGGCCCTCTGGGGCTGTCTTGGGCCATCCTGGGGCTATGTCGAATCGTATCGTTGCCATCTTGGACGTTTAAGAGCCGTCTTGAAGGCCATCGTGGGCGCCTTGGAGTTCTCGTGGGCCGTCTTGGAGGCGCCTTGGGGGCCTTTTGGACAGTCTTTGGCCGTCTTGGAGGCCTCTTGGGCGCTCTTGGGGCCATCTTGGGGGTCTCTTGGGCGGCATTGGGCCGTCGGCAGGCTGAAAACGTCAAAATCCGTCAAGAGCCCACGGGAAATCAGCTGTCTTTGCCTCTTCGGGCCTTCCTGCAGGTCCCCTTGGAGGCTTCTTGGACTGCATTGGAAGCCTCTTGGGGGCCTTTGAGGCCGTCCTGGGCCATCTTGGGGCCATCTTGGAACGCCTCGGGTGCATCTTGGGCCGTCTTGGAGAAATATTGGGGCCGTCTTGGCATCTTTTGGGGCAATCCTAGCCGCCTTGGAGGCATCTTGGTGGCCATCTTGGGCCATTTGGGCCGTCTTGGTGGCGATGTGGGCCACACCTTCTGGTCCTTCCGAGGGGCAGGCGGTCCGGGCCGAAGGCCACTGGGAAGGGTTTGAAAATAACAAGAGCAGCAAAATGTCTGGCACGCCGTCCACCCCTGTGGCAAGCACAGGGGGCGGCGGATCCAAGACGCCTACGGCGAATCACCGCCGCCCCCAGCCTTTTTGAGAAGCGCCTATGTGGCCAAACGTTGGGCCCCAGCTTGGCCAAGCTATCTGATTATGGATTCCCCCAGCCGCTCCGGAAACTCTTCGGGGAACACTTGGGGGAGGCTGAGGGGGAGGATCAGGAGAGGGAGGAGGAGGAGAAGGAGGAGGAGGAGGAGGAGGAGGAGGAGGAGGAGGAGGAGGAGGAGGAGGAGGAGGCCTCTTGGGGGCCTCTTGGGGCACTCTTCTGGGGCCTCCTGGGGGCTTTCCGGGGGTCTCTTGGAAGCCTCTTGGAGGCCTCCTTCGGCCTCTTGGGGGCCTCTTGGGGCACTCTTGTGGGGCCTCCTGGGGGCTTTCCGGGGGCCTCTTGGAAGCCTCTTGGGGGCCTCCTTCGGCCTCTTGGGGGCCTTGGGGGCGTCTTGGGGGCCTCTCCTTGGCCGTCTTAAAGCGTTCCTGTCTGACGGGTCTGACGCCGTCGGAAGCCGTCTTGGGGGCCTCTCTGAACCGATGTGGGGTCCTTTTGAGGCGCTTCAGGGCCGTCTTGGAGGCCATCTTGGGCGTCCTAGAGGCCTCTTGGGGCCGTCTTTGGGGCCTCCTGGGCCGTCATGGGGCCATCTTGGAAGCCGCCTGGGCGCACTGGGGGCGAGGAGGAGGAGTTGGAGGAGGTTGAGGAGGAGGAGGAGGAGGAAGAGGAAGAAAAGGACTGGGAAAAGCAGGCGAAGAGGGAGTAGTAGGAAGAGAAACAGGGAGGAGGACCAGGAGAAGGAGGCAGGGGGTAGGAGCGAGGAGACACAGTCGGACAACGAGAGACACAGTCGGAGCAACCCCCAACCCCCAGAGTCTGGGGGCGCCCCAGAGTCTGAACAGCACCTTTTTCAGATAATGCAGACTTGAAAAGAAAACCGTGCGCCTCCCGAGCGCACTGCGCCCCGGCCCTCTAGACCTGGCGCCCCAGGCGTACTCAATCCTTGGCCACTTTCGTTGGCCGCGCCCCGCTCGAAAAGCTTTCGAAACAGCCTTCCAATGCCCTTGCATCCTTATCTTGCGTCCTTATGATGCGGGTCGACGCGTCCTGCTACGGGGGGTTCTGCCCCCCCCCCCCCCTCCAGCGGGCGCGTGCCCTCCTTCGAGCACGACCAGCTCTACTCGAGCAGCCCGTACGACGACCCGTACGGCCCGTACAACGGCGGCGGCGGCGGTAGCGGGGGGGGGCGGGGCCAACAGATGCCGACGTCGCTGCTCCCTGGCCCTCCCCTGAGATCCTGGCGTCTCCATCTGTTCGAGCCGGGCGTTTTCGCTCGGTTTCGGGCCCTGGGGCCCGCACAGGCCGATCAGAGTCGAAACATAGCGCAGAGAGATGGGGTCTAGGGTGATTTCTTGCGAGATGCTGAATTCTTCTCGCCACGTCGGATCGCACGGCCTGCTGGGGTACATCCCTCCTCGAAGCCAAACGCAAGTTTTTAATGCTGGTTGACGCGCGAAATGCGGCCCGCGGGGTCAGATTGGTGTTTTTGCGCCCCCATTTCGAGGCGCAGATTGACATGTTGGCGCCCCGGGGCGCCGCCTCGTCGCGGGAGAAACCTGCTTTTTGATCTCCAGGGGGGATGCCGATTCTGACCAGGGTCTCCAGGCGTGTCCAGCCGTGGCGACGGGGGCCACCCAGGACGAGCAGCGGCACCCCGGGGAAGAGAGCTGCACGGGCGCAGACTCTCGGCGGAAGTCCGCGCGGACGTCTCGGAGCTGCGCTGGATCCCCCCCCCCCGCGGCGGTGCCAGAGGCGCGCTGCGCGCGTCCAGGGCGGGGGGGGGTCCAGCGCCGATCCGAGGAATCCGCGCGGGCCTACACCAGTTTCGGCGACGCGCCCGGGGGGGGAGTGAGAAGGAGGAGGCCTTCTCGCTCAGAAGGCGGCGGGGCTTCTCGGAGGCCCTCGCACCTTCTGAGAAGTTGAGAAGGCCTCTCAGAAGGCCGGGCCTTGTGAGAATCTTTTTCCCCCCTGGGCTCGCCGCCGACAGTTACAGTCGGACCGAGGCATAAGATCGAGGTCGGTTCGGGGAGGGTGCCCCAGTATGCATCGCATCTGTCGGCTGTTCTTGTGCATCCTGGGGAGGGCACCCTCGGAGGCTCTGTCTGTTTTGGCCGAGGGAGGGTCTCGTACTCTTGAGAGGGATGTTCTTCTGGCCCAGGTCCGCCTGTATTGTCGTGTGCAGGTCTTTCGTCTTTCCTTGTCGATCTCTTCCTCCTGAGGGACCGAGGACGCAGTCATCGCGACGCTCACGGCCTCGCTGGTGATCATCGTGGTCTTCGGCTGTCTCTCCTGTGGGGTCGGCCTCATCTTCGCGTGCCAGTACAAGACGAAGGTGGTCGACAGGAACCAGGGGAGGGAAAGCTTGCTACACAGTCCTGGGCGATTATTGAACTGGCCTGTCATTGCCCCCCTCTCGTGTAGTCTTTTCCCCTTCGGGGATCGTTTGGGGGCATCTCGGACTCTTTGTTCCCAACCCTCCTGTGTGTTGGGTCATTTGTTTTGAATTCTTAGCGCCGCGCTCCATCTCACCTCCTCCCCTCTCCTCCTGTGCTCTTCCGCCGCACTCCTCCCTCCACTTCCTCGTCCTATTCTTCCCTGTTCCCATCACCCCACTACCTTCATCATCACCACCATCATCACCATTATTTCCGCACACCCCTTACACGTCTCGTGGCACCATAGGGAGCTCCACCGAAGGCTTCGGTAGCAGGGTTCGCACTTCGCGGCCTCATAGGTTGCTCCGCCGAAGGCCCCAATGGCAGGGTCCGCATGGTTACTCGGGTCCATTCTGTCGCACTCCTTACACGTTTCATGGCCTCGTATGGGGGGGGGCTCCACCGAATGCCTTTGTGGCAGGGTCCGCATGGCTCCTCGATTCTATGCTGGCACACCTCTCACGTTTTCGTGGACCCACAGGGAGCTCTGGCGAGGGCTCCAGTGGCAGGGTTCGCATGTGTATTCGAGTTCATTCCGGCACACCCCTCACACGTTTCGTGGCCTCGTGTGGAGCTCCACCGAGGGCCCCAGTGGCAGGGTGCGCATGGCTACTCGATTCTATTTTGGCACACCCCTCACTCGTTTCGAGGACCCACAGGAAGCTCCGCTGAAGGCCTCAGTGGCAGGGTCCGCATGGTCACTCGGGTCCATTCTGGCGCACCCCTTACAGTTTGCGTGGCCCCGTGGGGAGCTCCACCGAAGGCTCCCGTGGCAGGGTCTGCATGGCTACTCGATTTCATTCTGGCACACCCCTTACACGTTTCGTGGATCCAGTGGGAGTTCCACCCGAGGCTTCAGTGGCGGGGTCCGGATGGTTACTCGGGTCCATTTTGGCGCACTCTTTACACGTTTCATGGCCCCATGCGGAGCTCCGCCGAAGGCTCTGGTGGCAGGGTCCGCATGGTCGAAGCTTGGAGCTAGGAGTCGCAAAGCTAGGCTTCGAGGAGTTCCTCCGCGCTGCGGAACCTGAGCCGCCCAGGGAATCATGAGCTCGCTGCGCAGTCGCGCCGCCTCCTGCCTGGATTCCCGCGCGCTGCGCTGGAGCTATTTATCATTCCTCGAGTTCTCCTTCCCCCTGCTTCCTCTGCTACTGCCCTCGTGCTCCGTTCCGCATACATCGCCTTCCAGTGTGTGATTTGAATCGCGTGGATGCGAGCCGAACCTGATGCGACGTTCTTCGGCGAAGTTTTCAGTGACACTGCGGAACCCTCGACGAGTTCTTGCTCAATGATCGACGCGTGTACAACGGGTTGGGTTCTTCGCCAGAGTATTTGTCCGTTGTAGCTGTTTTGTTTGTCTCCTCTTTGGGGTGGTGGTGGACGGCAAGTTGTTGTTTCTAGGTTGAGTATTGCGAAAGCCTCACGGCCAGTGCCGCCGACCTTGGGGGGGGGGCGAAAACGATGGCGGCGGCGACGGCGACGAGGAGGACGTCAACGCTCTGGGAGCCGCCTTGGAGCGGGTCTGGGGCCTCTTGTAGGGATGTTGGACACTTCGCAGCGCCGCGTAACAGCAGATGGGAGTGAGGAGGTTGCTTCTGGAGGGGGGAATCCTGCAGGTGTGTGGGTGGTGGGGGTGGTGGTGGTGGTGGTGGTGGTTGTCCTCCTGTCGTCAGGGGGGAACCCGGGGGGGGCTTCTCCTGTCCCTCGTCTACATCGGGGGGGGACTGGTGGTGGAGTCATGAGTTCCTCCTTGCCACATGGGGGGACCGCCCACCCGTGTCCCTTGGGAGACCAGGTGGAAGAGATGGGGCGGGGGGCTCACGTCTCCGTTTGACATTCGGCCCCGCTGCCAAATGGCCCCCAGGTCCTCGGTGGACATGGGGCGCCACTGCCAAATGGGCTCCAATGCCGATCTGCTTTTGTCAGTGCGCGGCCCCAGAAATCCTAACCTTATGAACCTACTTTAGCCTGGACCACCAGAAATCATTTCGAGCACCGAAGAATTAATTACCGAAACTGGAGGGTTTTCGCGTGTCGGGCCCTGGGAGGCGGTACTCGTTCGACACTGTTTCGATACTTCTCTAGGTGCTCGACATTATTTCTGGGATGTGGTCCTTAAGTACGATGGGAGCAACACAATCCTAACCCCTTCCCATGGGGCCCATTTCTGAGTTTCCCTTGGGCCTGATCGCGAGCCCCAGGGGCCGAAGGTGAGGAACAACGCCCTGATTGTGACCGCCGCGACGCGAGGCGCGAGGCCGCCGAGGTAAAGTGTGTTTGTTCTGAGGGTACCATCGGTACGCAGTTGAACGTTACGTGTTGTGGGATTTCCAGATCCCGATCTATTTCCGTCATCTTCCTATCTCACGAGCCGAGCGGTTTTTCCTCGTTTCTCCTCTTCAGGTGGCGGGCTGAAGCCCAATCTATTTACCGTGGGTTTCGTTGGTTTGTGTCCGCATTGAGGGCTTTCAAGTGTCGCGAAGATCCCTCAGCTGGTCTTGACGCTGAGATGCTCTGCGCGAGCCACAAGTCAATCGCCTGGCCCAGGGTATCCCGAGTTTCTTCCCTGGCAGCCGCTGAGCGAGAAACCGGGCCCTGACCCCACGAATCTTCGGCGAGTTTTTACGTTTGTGTTTCTTTCGATTGGTTTCTGATGGATTGGCCTCGACTGTACTTCATGCTTCTGCCCCGACCTTTTCACCGAGCACCACCCCCATCCCCATCCCCATCCCCATCCCGAGCCCCACCACCCCACCCAAATGGGGGGACATACCCCTCGAAGCCGGCAGGGAGCAGCCCATATCCCCGTCCAGGGGGCAAGTCGGCCAGTGGGCCCCGGGAAACACCGGTGGGGATAGGGATCGGTTAGACGACGCTCATCTGTCCCCCTACAGGGGGATTTTCGACGAAACATAAAAAATACCCCAAAACTAGTCAAACAATAATTCGAAAATAGTCAGGGGACTATTTTTAAAATATTTTTTGACCTTTTTGGTGTATTTTTAGGGTATTTTGCATTCTTCGTCGAAAATCCCCCTGTAGGGGGACACGCCCGACTTAACGTTACCCACGTCTTCGGCCCGGCCAGCTCTCTTCCGCCCTCGTGAGGAGGCCGCCGCTCCCGGGCGAGGCCGGGCAGCTCGCCGGCGGCGACTTCCGGTGGGGCGCTCGGGCCGGCCCGACGGCGCGCTCGCGACGGTTGGCTGTTGGTGACGGTGCTGGTGGTGATCATGGTGACGGCTGCGACGATGCTGATGAGGGTGACGGCGATGATGGCGATGGTGGTGGCAGTGATGGTGGCGATGGTGATTCCAATGATGGTGATGGCGATGGCGATGGCGATGAGGACGATGCTATGACGATGTTAACGATACAGATGATGATGAGGATTGTGGTGGTGGTGGTGATGGTGGTGGTGATGGTGATGATTATCCGGATGATGGTCGTGCTGATGATGTGGATGATTTCGCTGTTGATGATGATGATGATGATGATGATGAGACGTGTGAGATGATGCTGCTGGTGCTGATGGAGATCGTGTCTTTAATCCTCCCGGGGGTAGCGTGTTACACCCCCCGTACCCCAGTAACGGTAACGCTTGCAAACCGGCCAGAAGGACGACGCTGGTGATGGTGACGACGACGATGAGGATGATGATAACGATGATGATGATGATTATGATGATAGTGATGGTGATGGTAGTGGTGGTGGTGGTGGTGGTGATGATGATGTTGTTGATGATGATGATGATGATGATGATGATGATGATGATGATGATGATGATGTTGCGGTTTGTGTTGTTCTTGGCGATGATGATGTTGATGTCGATGATGGTGGCGATGTCCGGTGATGTGCAGATTATCATCGTGATTCGAATGGTGCACATGGCGATGTCGATGATGACGATGATGATGCCGATGGTGGTGGTGGTGGTGATGAAGATGGTGATAATGAGTTCAGGTCGGGCCCGTTCAGCTGCTTCGACGACACGCCAACCTGCTGCCACGCGACCTTCTGCGGCGCGTGCCGCGCGGGGGACACCTTCCAGACGGCCGGCCTCCAGCAGTTCTGGACCGTGATCGGTCCGTTCCTCCTCGCCGATGCCTCGATGCCTCGATGCTCAGGGTCGAGGAGCCAAAAACAGTATAGAAATACATTTTTGCGTTCCAGGTGCAAAGGAGGCCTGGCGCCTTTTGTGTGTTCCTTTTAATAAGGAAACCGATGCGAAACTATCCCTGCGCCTCCCGCTCTCTCCCTCTCTCTCTCTCTCTTTCTCCCTCTCTGTCTTCTTCTTGAAAGCCTCCGCCTTTGAAAGAGGGATTCCTATTGAAAGCCTCTGCAAAAGGATTCCTATTGAAAACCTTGACACAAGCATTCCTATTGAAATCCTCTACGAACAGATTTTTATTGAAAGCTAACACAAACGGATTCCTGTTGAAAGCCTCTACAAAATTATTTCTATTGAAAGCTAATACAAAAGGATTCCTATTGGAAGCCTCTGCAAAACGATTCCTATTGAAAGCTTCTGCATAAGGGCTCGTATTGAAAGCCTTTACAAAATAATTCTTACTGAAATCCTCTACAGAAGGATTCCCATGGAAAACCTGTACACAAGGATTCCCAGTGAAAGCCTCTACACAATGATTCTTATTGAAAGCTTCTTCAAAACGATTCGTTTTGAAAGCCAATGCAAAAGGATGCATATTGAAAGCCTCTACAAAAGTATTCCTATTGAAATCCCTTACAAAAGGATTCCTGTTGAACGCCGATGCAAAATATTTTTTTCAAAGCCAACACACAAGGATTCTGGTTGAACGCCGATGCAAAAGAATTCATTTTCGAAAGTCAATACAACAAGAGTTCCGATTGAAATCCTGTACGGAAGGATTCCGATTGAAAGTTTTTACAAAAGGATTCTCATTGAAATCCTCTACATAAGGATTCCTATTGAAAGTTTGTACTGAAGGATTCCTATTAAACGCCTCTAGAAAAGGATTCTCATTGAAAGCCTCTACACAAGGATTCCCACTGAAAGCCTCTACACAAGGATTCCTATTGAGAGCATCTACAAAAGGATTCCCATTGAAAACCACTGCAAAAGGATTCCTATTGAAAGCCGCTAAAAATGATTCTCATTGCAAGCCTTTGCACAAGGATTCCTATGGAAAGCCAGTGCAGAACTTTCTATTGAAAGCCAAACCACAAGGATTCCCATTGAAAGCATCTACAAAAGGATTCCCATTGAACGCCAATGCACAAGGATTTCTTTTGAAAACCAATGCAGAAGGATTCCGATTGAAAACCACTACAAAGGATTCCTATTGAAAGCTGCTGCAAAAGGATTCCGATTGCAAGCGTTTACACAAGGATTCCTATTGAAGTCATCTACATAAACATTCCTATTGAACGCTTTTACGAAAGGATTCCCATTGATCTACAAACGGACGCCAATTGAAAACCAATGCAGAAGGGTTCCTGTTGAAAATCGATACAAAACGATTCCTATTGAAAGCCTCCTCTTCTTCCTCCTCCTCCCCCTCCCAGCGGAAGGCCATCACTCTTAGGAAAACCCGGAGAAAAACCAAACACACCAAAGAAACTGAAGTGCTGGAGGCGGAAACCTTAGAACAACCATGGGGCACAAACCCAACACCAACAAAACACAAATGCATAACGGAAAACCCGTCCGCCCCAAAGGGGAGGTTACATGGGCGGGCGGCATTTCCTGGACACTTTTTTTTGGTTATTTTTTTGTTCAATGTTTTTTTCTCCAAAGTTTCCGCCTCAGGCACTTTAGTTTCTTTGTTTTTTTTGTTGTTTTTCTCAGGGTTCTCCTAAGAGTTATGGCCTTCCGCTGGAAGGGGGAGGGGGAGGAGGAGGAGGCGGAGGAGGAGGTGGTCCCCTCGGACGGGTGTTCCCTGGGATTTTTTTGTTATCTTTTTTTTTCTCCTTCCCCCCAACGTGTTTTCCAAAGTTTCAGCCTCCAGCACTTCAGTTTCTTTCTGTAGGGTTTTCTTGAAGTTATGGCTTTTCCTTGGAAGGGGGGAGGGGGGGGAGGAGGAGGATGATGATGATGAGGAGGAGGAGGAGGAGGAAGAGGAGGAGGAAAGTTTCGCGCAGGAGGAAAAGGAGGAACGTTGAAAACGACTGAAGCCAAACCACCAGGCCTCCTTAGCACCTGAAGCCCATTTTTGGATCTCCGTGAGGATTTCTTGGATCGGCGCTGGGCCCCCCTGGCGGCGCCTCCGGCGCTGCCCCTGGCGCGCTCCGCGCGCCAGGGAGGGAGTTTCAGCGCAGAGCCAAGAAGTTCGCGCGGATCTTCGAAAGTTTCCGCTTATGCAGTTTTCTGTTTCTCGGGAGGGGCGGTCTTGTCTCGTCTGTTAGGGGGGGAGCCCCTTCCCAGTTGCCGAATGGCGCCTGGGGGGAGCATCGCAGTGAGCACTTTGGCAGGAAGAGCATGCAGGAGTCGAGTAAATGCAAACATGGACGAAGGCGTGTGGATTAGCGACGGGTCCCGTCTCCACTCGAAGTCGCGCGCTCCGTCGCCAAATCAGGCGGCGCTGGCTCAATGTCTAGCCCTTCTCAGCGGATCTGGCGCCCACGCGCCAAGTCCACGGATCTCGAATCCATGCCAGCGCGCGCCCGGAGGAGAATGGAGACGTAGGAGGACGCGAGGAGGACGCGAGGAGGGTGCACGGGGTAGGAGGAGGCGAGGAGGACGCGAGGAGGACGCGAGGAGGACGCGAGGAGAGCGTGGGAGACGTGGGAGAAGGGGAGGACGCGAGGATGACACACGGGGGCCACCGTGGGGAACGACGAGGGGAGGGGCTGGAGCCCTTCGACCACGGGGATCCTTCTCCCACCTCTCCTTTCCCCTCTGTACCTTCCGAGCCTCTGGTCGCTCGGCTCTCGTTTCGACTTTGTGTGTCGATGCATGGAGACGGCTTTGCCGTTGTTTTGATGTCCGAGCTTCGGGCTCTCTTGGTCTGCAGGCGGTTTCGCGTCCTGCACCCCCGGCAGCGGACTTTCGAGGACATCCGAGTTCCGAGTTCCGAGTGTTGTACCCTCCCCCAGCAGTTGTCTTGCGATGGGCTGCTGCGTCTTGCGCCTGTTGGTGCGGAGTTCGGGCGCGTTGACGCCTTCCTCATCTCCACCTGCCTCCGCGTGCGGTTGCGTGGAGTGGGTGTGCATGACGGGTATCAGATACAGATCACCGCCCCCTGCGTGGAACAGACGTCTGAGAAGGCGGAGGAGCCAGGTGATGTATATCTTGAGCTTGGAGGCCAGCCGTCTTTCACTACGTCACCACTAAGGATCACAGATGTCCATGAGTGGGCGAAAACAACGTGGAAAGGATGCGGCGAACCAGGAACCACGGTCGGCTTGTATTGCTAACAGGCAGCTTGTTCTTCCCGGAAAAAGGAGAGTGTAATGTCTGGTTTTTATCGACCGGTGTTGCATGTGCGGCAGGGACAAGAGAGGGTACTTGGCCCGATCACGCGCTGGCCCTCATCATCTAAGCTTCGAAAGGTTCGTGCTGGCCAAGGAATTGAAGTTTGTGATGGTGTTGGGAAGGCTTCGCCTCAGAGGTTGTCGCACGTGCCCGCAAACCGTTTGGTGCATTGCGATGCCTTAGTCTTGACGACCCCAGAACTGTGAAACTGGCCGCAAAGAAGGATCTGTCCGACGGTGAGGCTTTCGAGAGGGCACAACGCACGCCCGATGTCTTGCTGCGCAGAGACTCGGGTAGGCAATCGGGCACGTCAATGGACATGGTCAGTGTGCTGGAGCAGGTGGGTTTTTTCAGTTTCGACTATGCGATCAAGAGCTCTGAGCTGCGACAGGCTGCGGCGGACCTGGCGCTGATCACTGCGAAGTGGCGACGGCACGCTCGGCCTTCATGGCCACATGCATGCAAACCACTGGGGCCGAGACCCACGTTGACGACGAGGGGCAGGCTGGAAACAGGTAGGTTGTTTACGCTGCTCTCTCGGTACCAGTTGGCAACGAAGGCAGCTGGCTCATTTCGCTATCGATTCATGTGCGAGATCTTCACACCGCGCTTGCACAGCATCGTGCGGCTACTTTAGCAGCGCCTGCAAGGCCCGCCCCGCCGCTGCTTTTACCAGTCCTAAAACCTTCAGGTGCTGGCCAGCGGAGCCACGGCATCACGAGAGAAGTGGACTCGGTGACATCCCAATCGTATGTGCCATGCTTCGTATGTCTGGTGATGGGCGTATCTATGTATATACTGCGAAATATTAGGAACCTGACGCAGCCCCGCTGCGATCTCAATTCCAGCATGGAGCCTCCCAACGGATGCTTCGGGCAAAGTTCTGTTGGGTCCAACTACGTTTCTCTCGTACCAGTACCTGCGGTGCCAGTACTACACCTACGCCACGTTGCAGCTGCAGGATCCCAAGGCCTTGACCGAGGAACCCAGCAGCACGGGGCGGAGGAGTCGCAGGCGCCACAGTACGCGGGACGTGAAGGACAAGAAGGACAAGAAGAACAAGAAGGACAGGAAGAGCAGCGTCAAGACGGGCAACTACGTGGGCCAGCACGCGCAGAAGATGTCCAAGGCGGCGGACCTGCCACAGCCTGCGGCGATGGTGCCCAAGGGGGAGTACATGTACACGGAGAGGGCGAAGGCGACTCCGCCTCTGCCGCCAAGGTGTGCGTAGGCGACCCCATTGACAACCAGGAGCGTTACGACGGCGGCGAGCTGATCGAGCACGTGGAGGACGGCAAGGTTGGCGACCTGTCGGTGGGCGCTCCCTTTTTCTTCAACATTGCCGCTGATGATCGTGATGTTTGTGACCTGCGGGGACCAGAGCTTCCGTGGAAAAGTGGAGGTGAAGGGGACTCACAGGTTGGAGACGAACTTCTCGGTCAGGAACGAGGCCTACTGCAAGAAGTACTTCTCAATTCATTACCTGACGATGGTGATGGCATGGACTTTCACAGCATGGACAAGCACGATCATATTCCCTCGCCTGGTGCGCGTGCTCCGAGTACGACATCCTTGTCTGCGAGTTCGGTTCCGACGTCGGTGACAGACGTCCGTGGTCAGCTGAAGGCT